GGTACTATTTTGTTGCTATTATTATCCAGGGGGGCTGGAACAATTTTTATAGTGGGGGTGCTGAGAGCTTTTGACTCAAACTGTAAATTTAGGGTGGGGAACCTAAGGCCCAGGGGCTGGATGCAGCCCCCCACTTACCTGGATCTGGCCTCTGAGGCTCAGGGCCCCCCCAATATTGGGGAGCCCGTTCTTGCACTCTAGCCCTCCCACCCCCGCTGCCCCACTGCAGGGCTGGAGCACACAAAATCTACCAGGTTGGACCCCCCGAGTCTCTGGTGTGCGAGGGGAATGTGGAGAACGTCTTTCTGCTTCTCAGTTGGGGGCCATGTCAATGAGGGTTTGTTTGGTTGGTTTTTTTGCTTCTCGCTTGCATGTGGCCCTGACTCACAGAAAAAATCAATAAGTGGCCCCTGACTCAAAAATTTCCCCACCCCTAAACCCTACATATGATAGAAACCCCCAGTTCCAGCACCTATGTCCCCAGCCGGCCTGAAGAGTGCAACCCTTCCATAGTCCACAAGAACAGGGCAGTGCTGCCCACACACCTGTTTTTGGAGGAGTGTCTGAGCTGGAAGGAAGTGTTTGAATGCTCTCATTATGCACAGAAGTTAGCAGTCATATTCCAGAGAACTCCTAATTCCTCATTTGACTTCCAAATGTGTGTGGGAGCTGACAGTTAGAAGCCCTGGGCCCAGAAGATTGCCTGCTCTTGGAGAGTAGGGATTTAGTATAGCTGGCGGTCTCCAGAAAATCTTGGACAGCATCTAGACATAAAATCTCGAAGCTTTTGGTCCACTGATAACCAGTTCTATTGTTCCTAGAGCAGTGACAGAAGGGGGAAAAGAAGACAGAAGCTGATCTGTTTATAGATTATGATTAGCTAGAACTGACACTGACACAGAAAGCAAACCCTCTAGTTTACCACTATATCTTGTAATGACTGTATTGTCTTAGGATTTGCCTAAGCTTACAGCACTGTAACACTTCATGAAGTCTATCTACACTGACAGGAAAGCTTCTCCACATCAGGGTAATTAATTCTCCATCTTGAGAGGCACTACCTATGTGTAAACGAGAAGCCCTCCTAATTTGACATAGTGCTATCTGCATCTGGGGTTAAGTTTGCATAACTATCTCACTCAAGGGTGTGGACATTGCAGACCAAGCATTCCTCTTTCCCCGGAAAGGAAGATCTCTGCAATTTTTCTCTGTACCTTTCATGGTTTTACCTTCCCTTTATAGACCACTGCTTCCTGAATCTTGGTTTTTAACATGACTTTTCCAGTTAAACCTAATTTCCAGCAAGCTGGTGCAGAATTGGGCCATGTCCAAGGAAAGCACACAGTTATGGCCTTAACTAGAACTATAGTGATGGTGCTGAAATTATATTTACCACACTGTGCATGGGACAAAAAGGACAACAAAGACAGTCATATTTCATGCTGCAATTCATCTAGCTGGGTCCCTAATATCTCCAGCTACTGGGTGTACCACTAGTTCCACTCTAGATATTATCCACTAATGACAAATCAGACATCAGCCTTCTGTGTGAAAATGAACCCCTAGCTACATACAGCTGATGTGGGTCACTGTCTAAGAACTTGCATTTCCAATGCAACCAAAAAATAAGCTTCCTTTTCACAGAGTCCTCCCCAGAAAACAGGGGTAACTAAGTCAACTTGTATCAAAGAAGATTTTGAGGGGTATATTTTATAGAAGTTTATACAGCAGGCCTCATTCATTCTTGGCATAACTCAACAGAATTATATTAGGGCAAATCTAAGTAGTGAGAGATGGAAGTTGGAAAATAAACCTCATGCAGCTTGTTACAACTAACAGGCCAGGTCCCCAGCTGGTTTAAATCAGCACAGCACCATTGACTCCAACACAGCTTTGCTGATTTATTCCAGCTCGGAAGACCCTTCCTTCCAGCCCTTTACAAATATTTTAAATGCCACAAAACACTGATGGGGAAATAAGGAACAATTTCCTGTTTAAAACACAAACGCTCTGGCTTCTATACAGGCTCCAAGTGCTTCTAGGTTGTTTTTTTGTTTACCTACCGCAGCAATGCTTAAAAACATTCCCGGAACAGCTGCTGACCAAACAAGATCTTAAGTCCTAAATAAACCCTGGAGAATGGATTGCAACAACCTTCAGGAAATTAGGAAGATGCACAAGATGCAACCTACTTCACAGGATACATGCACAGATGACATCTAGGGAGGAGGGAGCTGGGCAAAACAAAACAGTAGTGAAAAGCAACTTGAAATAAGCCCCAAATTTCATGATCCCGAATCACAGCAGAAAGCCATACACAAAGATAAACTGCTCCTGGGCTTATTTATCCTATGTATCAACTTGTAAAACATCTCAAGGCCAACTGTTTAGAAGATCAAATATCTTCACAGCGAGGGAGATTTTGATTTTTGTTTCAGGGATGTGTGGCACTCATGCTCTGCATTCATTAGTATCACTGGAACTGATGAAGATTTCAAGTCAGATGCATTAGTGAGGAAGGACGATCCTGCAGTTAGGTCGCTGGTCTGGTATTTAAAAGACCCAGGGTCAATTCATGGTCTGCCAGGCCTCATGTACAATCTGTTCTGTTCTAGATAGGCTCTTCTACCATGCTCATCACTGCAGTGTCAAAGTATTTGGGCAATTCACTCAGTACCTCATCTATAATATCGGGTTAATGGTTTCCTGCCTCACAGGAATTCTGCAAGAATAAATAAAATAGAGACTGTGAAGTGCTCACACACTATAGTAACAGAAACCAATAAATAACTTAGAGAATGTTAGTCTTCTACCACCTAAATAAGTCTCTTAACCAGGAACTATAGTAAGCTATTACCCTTTCATACAGACCAACCACTAGAGGGGAAAAAAGACTTGCCTTGTACTAATGGGGGTTAACCTCGAGTGCGCCAGGTTACAGCCCCTTTTTCGGCTCCTCCAGAACCTCTTGTTGAGGTTCTAGCTGCACTTTTCCCATCACCTGCTAATCTACGTACACCCCATCCATGGCCCCACAAAGTTGCGGGACCTCCTGGTCAACCTCCTCCTGGCTATGCCCAAACTAGCAATCTACAAAACTAGGGAGCAGAGGCTGGCCGAGGGAGGGGCCTGCAACTGTGGGGCCTATTTCCGTTCCTGCATCCGCTCACGCATCTGAGTAGAGTTCCCCTGGGCAGCGTCCACTGGCTCTCTCAAAACCTTTGAGGGGCCAGTGGGCGCTGTCTGGGGTTCTCTGCTCAGTGTCTCCATCCGGTTCCCTTGTTTCAGCTCTTTGACCCTCACACCAGTCCTTGTTTTCTCTTTATTTGTCCTCCAGAATCACTTGGGCTGTGTCTACATTGGCACCCCTTTCCGGAAAAGGGATGCTAATGAGACACTTCGGAATTGCAAATTCCGCAGGGGATTTAAATATCCTGAATCATAGATAAAAACTTTTGGTGCAGTCACCTGAAGCATCAGCCACCTGGAGAGTGACATATGTGTAAGGAACTGAACCAAATGGCATATATAAAATTCTGTGATGCAAACACATCAGTTCATCACAGATTTCTGGCCATTGCTCTGAAATTGACCTACTTATAACAAGTCTTCTCTCTCATTCCTTCCCCCACCCCATTTTCTACCACTAACTTTCAAGGCACAGCTTTTTGCAAGCAATGCTTGCAAACTGCAGAAGGAAGTTCTGTTCTGGTTTGTGTTTCATGAGCAATAAGCTCATGCTAAGGTGAAGCAGAGTGTCAGGAGAGAGATCTTTGTTCATTATGTCGAGAGTTTACAGTCTGAGGGAGCTGCCTGGCTTCCCATTACATTCCTAAACACCTTGGTGTCTTACTCAAATAGGCCCCTCTTGAAACATGACCCTCTTTCTCCAGTTCCACTCACCTTGCTGCTATTGACAGTTACAGGAGAATGACTTAAAGTAACACGTGTAAAAACTTATTGTGAAATCACTATGGTTACAGCTCCCTGATTCTTTGTCTCCGCATAGGGCAGAACAGCTTGGGAGTGAATCTAACTTGCCATCAGCTGGCTTGCTGAGATTCCTGTAGTAATGAGTTAAATAAATGTGTCATCAGTTTTATCCCCCTTCACCTTGTTCTGACACAGAATAGGTCATATTATACTTTGTACTTCCTTGTGTGATTAGCATTTACTGTATCATACTATGCTCTCTGGACTTACATAAGATTCCTGCAATGTATAAAAGTGCAACTTTATTTTAGAATTGTTTTTCGATTAGCAAGCGCTCATACACCTGAGGAAATATCAGTTCCAGGACATAAATTGTCCTAAACATTTGAAAGCACCAGTCTAGCACTGCAAGTAGTGCTCTTGAATTTCCACTGCTTGGGAACACAACCTTTTTGTAAAAACAGGTTTTTTTAAATTTCTGGGAAAGATTTCCAAGCCCAGAGCCTTCATTGAGAAAAATGATCACCTCGGGCCAAGGCCTAAGGATTTCATAGCACAATCCTTCCTCAGTAGACTGATTTTGGTTTTAGCAGTGCTTTTAGGAATAATACAGATGTGCTGACAACTTTGTAAACTGGATTATCGACTTTATATACTACAGAAACCTTCCACATCAATTTCCAGACTTTTATTACTAGATTACCTTTCTTTATAGCCCCAGAGGGGTAGCTGTGTTAGTTTGTAACTTTAAAAACAATGAGAAGTCCTGCTGCACCTTAGAGACTAACAAAAATATACATAGTATCATGAGCTTTTGAGGGTAAAACCCACTTCCTCAAATGATGTGGCGTGGGGAAAAAAGTGTCCGATTCACCCTATTTTTCAGAATTTTCAAATTCAGTTAAACCTGAACCAAAATATGATTTTTTTTTCTGTTTGTGGGAACTGCCATGGAACTGAAACGTCAATTATTTGCCCACTTCTGTTTGCATCAATGAATACGTCCAGCTGGGGTGAGCTGAAACGAAGGGCATAGAAGCAGAGCGCACAGAAGTAAGGGAACTTACCGCTTTCAAGATCGCTACTGCATCCTGCTGGAGCCAGGTTGGGTAAGTAACTTCATCATTCAGGATGGCTTCAAAGAGGTCATCTTCATTCTCTGCTTCAAAAGGGGCATGGCCACATAGCATCTCATAAAGCAGCACCCCCATAGCCCACCAATCTACATCAGGACCATAGAGCATCTCCTGCAGAATCTACAATGGGGATTTGGAAGGGGGAGAAATGTCATTCACAGGGCTTAACAGTTGTTTTTCTAAGCAGGGATTATGAAATATTAATGGGAGCAAAACATATCCCCACATATGAACCTGCTTCTGTGCTTGCCATTCCCCCTTTCTTAAAGCCCCTTGTCTGATGTGGATTTCCAACTGGCAACCCATTGATTTACAAATGGAATAAACAAGGGGTCTGCCAGTTGTACTCACTTGCCAGACATGCTTAGGAACAGACTCTTTAAAAGAATGGGCTGAGCAGGAGATGAAGTGTTTTTCAGTCCAGTTGTTCTAGTCAGGTGGATCAACTGGGTCTGCAGCTGGAGCTTCTGCACTCCCCTGGGCCTCTCAGAAGGAAAGGCCTACATGGTTCCAAAACCACATTCCCAGCTGCAGAAGGGAAGGGTGTGTCAGCAAAAGTAAATGTGCGTGTGAGAAGGGGGACAGAGGAACCATGACCATAGCACATAAATTGAGCAGCATAACAGAAGCCTCTACAGCATGACTGGTACACCTGGCAGGATATGGAGGAAAGGTGCTTCTGAAAGCTGTGTGTACTCTTTTTTTTTTTTTTTTAAATTAGGCAGATGAATGACAAGGAGGGAGGGAACAGACAGAGGCAGGGAAGGGAATTGAGGAATGAGGGAGATTGCAGTCTGCTCTCAACCACACTGGGCTGGAACCTGTGATATTTGCTATAACCAGCATTTTGGCAGCTACAGTCTGGCATCTATGTTTTTCAAGATGCATGTCCTCTTCCCTGAGTGGGGCTGATGCCCCATGTCAGCCATAGCAACGTGAAGATTTATTTAGACTTCACTAGCCCATGGGACTGTAAATCTCAATGCGCTTCTGAGACCAAGCTTTCCACCAGTCAACTCCATAAGATGCAGCCAAGTTAAGCAGAGATCTCATCTTGTTGCTTTTAAACCAGACCTAACAGGAGGTCAATGGATCTTCCAATCTAGAAGCATTTCCCTGTACCTCTGGAGCAATGTAGTCTGGCGTGCCGCAAAACGTTGCTGTCGTAATTCCATCGCGAATCCCCTCTTTGCACATGCCAAAATCTGCCAACTTGCAGTGGCCCTCGTGATCCAGCAGCACATTATCCAGCTTCAGATCCCTGCAAGAATAAGAACGATTATTGTTATTATTTAAGTTGTTACATACGAGGAACTGCACAAACCCAAATGAAGATACAGGGCCTATTCTCTCAAGAGCTTAAAATAAAACCTGGACAAATGCATGTCACTGGATCCAGCAGCCTACTGCACCATCGTCTTCTGAAAACAAGCTGTGTGCATGAATTCAGCACTTGTGTAAAGGAGGACCTAATATTGTTGAGTTGAGCCAGATTTAATATGAACAGGTGTTATGAAATTCCCCAAGTCTTAACTGCTGAAACCCCTAGTAATTCAGTTTTGAGATGCATTTGAGGCAGGAGTGGGCAATAAAATGGCAGCGGTTCACCAGGTTTAGCCCCTGGTGGGCCACTGCCACTATACTTATCTGAGCCTCCACAGGAATGGTGATCCGTAGCCAACGGGAGCTGCGATTCCCCTGCACCTGTGGAGGCGCAGGTAAATACGGCAGTGTGGGGGCCCACCAGGGGCTAACCATGGCGGACCAAATCTGGGCTGTGAGCTGGTATTTGCCCACCCCTGTTCTGAGCAGAGTGATAGTTCTGCATATACAAAGGCCTAAATTAGTCCTGGAGGAATTCTGCAATTGTTGCGTTTAGAGTCATAGTAAAATTGCAGAATTCCCCCATGCCTGCTAAATGTCCATAGGTGCACTAATCTCGGTGAGGTTGCACCGGTGTATCCAAGAGGAGGATTTGCTGCCAAGAATCTTGTTATTATTTACTTGTGCTCTCTTGTCTCATCCCCACATTATTGTCATTATGTAGGAAGCTTGTTGGCAGCTTGATCTTGAGATGGCCCCAGAGAATATTTCACCATCATAAATACAGTCAGGATAACAATGGAGCCATCTGCAGACCCAGGCAACGCTTTCCTAAAAATATAGTCCAGCTCTTAGCATCTGGCCCCTTCAGCTGTCACGCTTATCCCGCGCACACTCGCAGATGGGGGAAAGCCACCCTTGCCACAGAGCTGCCCCAGTGATGTTAATATCAAGAGCAGAATGCCTGTGTACATGATAGCAATGGGCTCTGTTTCCTCTTCCTAGGTCTTGGGGGAAAGATATGAGACTTGGCCTCTCGAATGTATTCAACTTGCCAATCACTTGGTCAGATAAGCCAGTGCCTTCCTGGTGTGGTACAACCCAACATTCTGATTCACTCCCATAGCAGACAATTAATTAGGACCTAGACAGGCATTCTGGGTATCTATGTAGGTCCTTATATGGCCATATTGCTACGGTCTCTGGACATCTCACAGCACTCCAGAGAGTTAGACCAGAACTATTATCCCTCATTTACCAAGGAACAGAGAAACTAAGGCAGAGGAAGCCTATGTCAGAGAATGGACTAGAACCCAGATCTCTGGTTAGCATTCTAACCGCTGGGCCACCATTCTTCTCTACTACAGTGCCTTCAAAACAAGAAGTACAGATATTCCACTCTCTCTCAGAAGTCCTATCAGCAGAACCACCACAGGATGTATCTCTTAAACTAATGTTGGGTCACCATGGAGTTTATTATTATTTCTGGTCTTGCTATGCTAGGCAACTGTGCTAGCAAGAGTCAGGTCCTGCCCCATAGAATTTACAAATAAATAGACAAGAATATTATCCCTACTTGGTTGATGAGGAACAATGATAAAGAGAGATTAAGACCCTTGCCCAAGGTCACCAGAGCCAGGAATGAACCTGGATCTCCTGAGTTACATTGCAGCATTTTCTCTGGATGGGATGTGAACTAATAGAGTTTTTCTTTTTAGAATTAAAAATGGTCATAAAGCTTGATGGGCCAAAACCCATCCTTTAAGGGATTAGGAGGACACAAAGAGATGTATTATGTGTTGGCTCATGACAACCTTGTAGTGTGGTTTAAAGAGTGGCTTACAGTTAGAGCTCCTGGAATTCTGCCCTGTGCTACTAGCACATTAGGAAACATTTCCAAGCATAAAGGCAGGCTTTGTTATCCATAATTTTTAGGGAAGTGATTGAAATAGCAAATTATTCTTAAATCCAGTCAAATTCTTTTTCAGATACATGAGAGAGAATGGGAGAAACCATGTTCAGCCACAGTTCTTGAAGGCTTTAGTCTCTCTCAGAGGCTGTGAGCTTTAAGCAAACTTCAGCCTTTAAACTGGAGTGCAACATCCAGGCCTGTTTTGCCTAGAACTCAGGTCTAGAATCTTTACCCTCTTGTCCAAGGAAGCTACAGCAGCCCTGCTAACTGGGCAATGCAATATACTCTTCAGAACACCAATATGAAAGGAGCATTTGCAGGTGTAAGTTCATTGTGTGCTTTCCCCCAAAAGAATCTCTGTTTTTCTAATTCCCATTTTATTTAAATCAGCTGCTGCCCATTCACATTCTGGAAACAAGAACAGTGTTAGCCACACCAAGGCAAAACTCCAGTGTATGGGCTTCTAATGTTGGTATATTAATCTTGTTAAGAACACCTGTCTCCCACTGCTACAAGGTGGATGTTTATTCCTACTGGCATCTTTTAAGTGATGAGAAATCTAAAGCTCACATTTTATTATTTAATGTGGCCCAGAATGGGGTATTAATTGAACCTTACTTGGTCACAAGATACTCCAAGTCTGGCTCCCAAGATAGGATGTGTCAAAAAGGATTTATTTCACTCTTCATCAGCTCCATCTACAGTCAGTGGTTCTCTCAAGTCATGTCAATGCTATTAATCTGCATACTTGTTGCTTTGCATTCACTGGTCCTACCGTTCTTTATGCCAAATGAAGTCACAAAGAAACCTGTACAGGATTCTAAGATTCACAAGGTGCTCTTCAGTTCAGCTGCAAGAGCTCCAGGAAGCTGATGAAATTAGAAAGTAGCCCATTCACAAAGCCCAAATCTAGCTCAGATTTCCTTAATACTTGTCTTTTTCATTCCACATTTTGGTAGTGTGATGCAGCAATAAAGGGAGGGATATTTTGGAGGTCATTATATGCATTTGTTATGCCATTATTCTGTTTTGATGCAGTCCTTTTGAAGGCAAACTCACACTGGAATAAGAATGTTGTGCACACTAACGGCACGTCTGAACAAAATTTTTTGAAAGAGGATATGCAGATTCCGCATAATCTGGCCCAATATTTGTAACAAGACCTCATCTTGTCTTAACTTTGTGACATATCAAAGGGCCTGAGCCAAAGCCCATTGTGGTAAATGGAAAAACTCCTTTAAGGCTTTGGATTGGGTCTCAAGTAATCTCTTACCATATGGTATTTTACTAACAGTATTTGCAATCCTGTGACTTGAAATCGCAGAGAAATCACTGCCGAGTAAGAATGTTTTTTTGTCACGAACATCTCTCACTTCTTCCAGATTTTTTCCCCAACAGCAAGGCATGCATGTGACCATGCATATTTTTATATCCAGGAATTCCTTACCCCAAAGCATCATGAGACTGCTTTGCAAATTTCCAGAGCACCAGTAAAGCTGAGTAAGCATCAACAAATAGTAAAAAATGTTGTCTAATGAAGACTTCTCTATCTGTGATTCCAGAGCTCAGACAGAAAAACCCCAATCTGTGCTGCTGTCCTTTTTGTCAATGTTACCACATCAGTAGGTTTAGAGATCACAATCACAAATGGAAAACCAGAGTATTGAATTTTGAAAAAGGAAGCCACAAAACAGAGATCAGAAACAGATGAAACTGTTTTTAATTTGAGAAAAACAGCTTGAAAATTTCAGGTCAGTGGAATAAAAGACTGAATTATCACTCCCCCTCAGCTTTGGATGTTTGTTCTAAAGTCACTAATGTGGAACTTTAAAGGGAAAAATCAGCAGAGCTAGAACAAGTGTGCAGTGATAAGCAGTCCATATGGGGTATAGAGAGCTGGGAGAAAGAACACTTTCTTTTTGGCACAGACCCAAAGGAAATACTTAAAATGACATATTAGGTTGATTAACTAAAGAAACCCTGCTGCCATTTATGGCCATAGTATTCTTGCTGACCCATGTTTAGAAGGTTGGAATTGTTTTATAGCTCTGAGCTTCCAGAACATGATCACAAAATCTTTGTCAAGATTCAACTGCAGCCTGCTCTGTTACTTTCCCTTATTTAAAATATGAAACAATGGACACTGTAGTTATGTGCATGGTCCTCCTGAGCTTTGAAAATGAAGCATTAAAATAAATCTTTTGGTTTGCAAAACATTAACTCACCAATCACCACCCTATTTTTTAGATCAATTTTCTGTTTTTTGGGTGAGTGAAATGCATTATCTAGTTTCCAGGTGGCTGTTAAAGGCCCCTGAAGTGTAGGAACACTAGTACACTGAATGTGATGGCTGGACCAGCGTAACTATGAAGCACTGAATGGTTTGCAACTTCAGATATAATAAAGTCAGAATGAAATGAAGAGCGAGCCTTCACATGGTGTCCTGGCTTTTGAAAAATGAACACAACTTTTAAAAAAGGAGTTAAATGTAATGATGTGTACACAATGTAAAGATGGACAATGAAATGCCCTCTTTGTTGTTGTGACAGCAGGAAGTCCTTCTGAAATGCTTGCCAGTTCCTAGGACAAAGGAATGAGGAACATTACTGTGAAGGCTCCAATCTAGACCTCTATTTCTCCTGAATAATGGCATAGCAAATGGCAATTCAATACACAATGAAGTCAAAGGGTCAAATCTAGACCTTGTATGAGTGAGTTTAACCCCATTAAAAACACATGATGGCAGGGAGTTACTTGTTCTTAACAGAGTCTGGGTGGACCTAGGGAGAGGGACATAAGGTCCTTTGGGAAGGAAACAGAGTCCCTGTGCAGCTCCTCTTGTGTGTATGGGGACTGCACATTGTGACTCCTTGGGATTGTGCAGCCCGCTTTCCTACAACACACCCTGTCAGCGTCAGAACCGGCGTTGTGACAACAGCAGGCGATAGGGAGATAAGAGAGCTGTGGCCTCATCTTTTCTCCACCCCCTCTTTGATATATCTTATGTGGAAGGACCTAGGCCTCGT